AGGGGAGACAGGACGAGAGACGGAGGTGTCGGGTCAGGAGACAGAGGAGGGGACACAGGGGGGGAACGAGGGGCAAAACGAGCCGGGGACGAGTCCGGCGGAGGGAACACAGGGCCGTAGACGGGAAGAGGAGGAGACGGCCGAGGAGGAACAGACGCAGGGTCAGGGGACGGAAGGCCGAGCAGGCGAAGGGCTGACACCGGCGGGGACTGTTGCTGCGGCGACACAATGCCGACACCGGGACCGCAAGCTGCTCCTCGGCTACCACCGGCACACTCCACGCTAGCACCCCCAGAGGGAACACCCCCAGGGCCCGAAACCCCGCGAGGACCGGTACCACCCCCAGGGCTACCGGGACTAGCAGGCACTCCAACGCCAGCACCCCCAGAGTCAACAAACGGGTGCAGCGACGGCGGCGGCAGAGGCGGTGGAGGAGGGGACGCCTGGGGAGGGGGAGTGGGTGAGGACTGCGCCGCAGGACCACCAGATTTAGAAGACTCCTCAACCGGGACCACCGTTGGAAGAGGGGTGACGTGGGACACACTAGAGGGAGCAGGACGGGGAGGAGGAGGGGGGGGGTGCAGGGACTACCGGGGAAGGAGTGGCCAGGAACAGGGGGGGGATAACCGGGGGACCGCGGTGGGGGAAGCGACCGTAGAAGGAGACGGACTCGTCAAAGGTGACGTTGCGAGAGTGAAAGAAGCGGTGAGACGGCGGGTGGTAGAAGTGCCAGTCGGACGCGTCAAGCGGAAAACCGAGGAAGACACAGGGAAGGGTGCGGGCAGTGAGCTTGTCCGTGCCGGAGGCACGGACGTGAGCAAGGCAGCCCCAGACGTGGAACGTAGACGTGTCACCAGGAGACCCAGTCCAAAGACGGGTCGGCGAAACCTGCGGCTGCTGGGGGTGCGGCCATAGGTTAAGCTGGTGAGAAGTGTAGCGCATGGCGAACGGCCACAAAAAATGGGGTGCACCGGCATGGATCATGGAGGTGCGAGCCACCTCCATGACCAAACCAATGCGTCGCTCAGCGACCCCATTCTGCTGTGGGGAGTCCAGTAGGGTGAACGTCTGGGTGATGCCCTCTGCACGAAAAAAGCGACCAAGGACACCTGAGGCAAACTCGCCACCACGGTCGGAGTGAAGACGCAAGACAGGGAGACCTCGGTGGACACGGGCAGAGACAAGCCAGGGGATGAGAGCGTCAGGCACGTCGGCCTTCCGCTCCAGGGGAAAGACCGACGTGTAGCGAGTGAAGTCGTCGACAAGCACAAGGAAGTAGCGCTCTCAACGCGGCCCATGGACGGGGGCGGGGCCCCAGACGTACATGTGCAGGGTCTGCAGCGGCGCGGCGGTAGGGGGAAAAGAGGAGGAGTGAGGGGCACAGCGAAGCCGACCCTCGACACAAGGCGTGCAAGGTGGGGCTGGGGAGGAGGGAAAAGCGGGGAGAGAACCAGGGAGACCAAGGACGAGACCGTGCTAGGACATGTGACGCAGACGCGGGAGCGCAGGGTGACCTAGGCGGTGGTGCCAAAGGAGAGTCAGGTGGGTGAGGGACCGACAGGAGCAGGCAGCAGCAACCTGGGTAGACGCAACCACCTGAGGGGGCGCCCCAGCCGGGGGGGTCACAGTGTCCAGAGTGAACAGACCGGACACCGGGTCCCGGGGGAACGTGGACAGGGGGGCACCAGTGGCGGCCTGGGTACAGACAACATACCGCTCGCGGCGACAACATACCACTACGGAACGTAGTGGTGACGCCAAGGTCCTGGAGGCAGCCGACACCAATTAGGTTCTTGGAGAACGAGGGGATATGCAGACCTGTAAGAGAGCCCGAAGGAACCGCCGGAAAGGGAAGGGTGGTGGAACTGCGGGCGACTACCGGACCGCCAGAGGGGTCAGCAAGAGAAACGGCAGCAGGAACAGGAAGCAGCGTCAGTGTAGTAGAGTCACGGAAGAAGCACCGGGAAGCGCCAGAGTCCACGGTGAAGGAAAGCGAAGCAGTGGCGTCTGGCGACGGGGTGACGGCGGAAGCACCAAGGCTAAACAAAGCAGGGGATCCTACGCCTGACGCAGCAGGGGAGGCTAAGCTAGGCACACCGACACTAGACGACAGGGAGTAATAAGCGGGGAGTGCACTAGAGTCATCAGCATACATCACATGCAGAGCAGAAACAATGGCATCCATGTCCATGTCAGAAATCTGAATCCTACGACTAAGCAAACTGTGCCAGTCTGGGAGGTCTAGCGAAGGGCCGAAGCGCTGACGGAACTGGTCGTCCAGGCGACGAAAACAGCGGGGAGTGGTATGACCGATCTTACCGCAAACGAAGCCGCGGCGAGGACCGGTCTGGATCTGGTACTGACAACGCACGCCTCCCGAACCACCACTCGGCACACCACCACGCGCCCGACCACCTCCAGTGCCAGGCCACCCGGGCGGGAGGGCACTCGCCTGCCTCGTCTGCGGGGACTGCTGCGGCTGCTGCGACTGCTGCGGCTGGTGGGGCTGCTGTTGCTACGACTGCAGAGGCAGCGGCTCCGCTGGACCAGGCAGGGTCCCCTCGTCCGCTCCAGCACCAGACGACCCGAATCCACCACCACCCCCTCCTGCACCCCCGCCTCCTCCGCCGCGCCAAGCCTTGGGACGGTGGCCCTTCCCCGAATGAAGCTGCACTGCAGCAGCAGTCTCAGCCACAGCGACAGAACCATCGGAGAAGGTTCACTGAGCGGGGGCACAGCCCTGAAAGATAGGGACCGGCACGGTACCGCTCGCCTGGGCGATGGAGCGGTGGCGGGTCTCGATAACAGTCAGGGTGTCTACAAAGTCGGGGAGGGTGAGCTCACTGGGGTGGACGCTAAGGAAGCAGTCGCGGGCAGCGGCAAGGCAGTCAGGGAGGCGGGTGGCAAGCAGGTAGAGGGTAGAGGTAATGGGCGGCTGGTGGGCTCTAAGCTGTGTGTCAGTGCAGGCAGCGCGCCAGGTTTCATCTATTGCGCGCAGGTGGGCAGCTAGGTCAGAGACAGTGGGGAAAGACGCAAGGTCGGGAAAGAGCATCAGGAGGATCAGGCGACCCACCGAGGCAGCAGGAGGGGTGGAATAGCGCTTGATGACAGCATCTAAGTAAGCCTGGGCGGTAGTGAGGGACCTAAAGCGAGGGCACTCAGACGGAGGAAGGGCATTGCTAATGGCAAGCTGAGCGACAGCGTCTCGGGAAAGCCAGACAGAGCGCGCAAGGGCAGTGGCTGCAGTAGACTCGTGCTCAGCGGGTGTGGGGTCAGCGGGCAGAACAGCAAGGGGGTCTGGGCAGGGGAGCGTACCGTCAAGGTGTGCGGAAAGCGGGTGGCCATCCTGCCGATGACCAGTGAGGTGGCGACGGAGGTCGGCGAGCCACGCCTCGAACTCCAGAGGCTGGCCTTCAGCGTCGAAGCGAAGCTCCGCCGCCATCAGGAGCAGTGCAGTACTGTATTGTGCGGTGCAGCGCGGTGCAGGGCGGTGCAGTGCGGTGCAGCGCGGTGCAGTGCGGTGCAGTGCGGTGCAGCGCGGTGCAGTGCGGTGCAGAGCAGTACTGTGCAACACAGTGCGGTGCAGGTAAGGAGGAACAGTACCAGGGAGGATGCAAGGCCGGGGCAGGGACGACGAGCGGGCCGCACACAGCTCGGGGTAGGACGGGCGCGGGGGCCAGAAGCAGTGGGCACCAGGCCGACGGGACGGGCGCGAGGCCGGCTGGGACGGGTGCAGGAGCCGAGCAGACGGGCGCGGAGGTCGCGAGGGCGGGCGCGGGGCCGGCTGGGACGGGCGCCAGGCAGGCGCGGCAGGGCAAGGTAGGCGCGTCAGGGCCCAGGAGGGGCACAACGGGGCTAGGCAGGGCGCGACGGGGCCAGGCGGTCGCAACGGGGCCAGGCAGGGCGCGACGGGGCTAAAAGGCGTGACGGGGCCCAGGAGGGGCGCGACGGGGCCAGAAAACGCGACGGGGCCCAGGAGGGGCGCGACAGGGCCCAGGAGGGGCGCGACTGAGCTAGGAAGCGCGACGGGGCCCGGGATGGGCGTGACGGGGCTAGGAGGCGCAGCAGGGCCCAGGGGGGGCGCGACTGGGCTAGGAGGCGCGACGGGGCCCAGAAGGGGCGCGACGGGGCTAGGAGGCGCAGTAGGGCCCAGGGGGGGGCGCGACTGGGCTAGGAGGCGCGACGGGGCCTAGGAGGGGCGCGACAGGGCCCAGGAGGGGCGCGACTGAGCTAGGAGGCGCGGCAGGGCCCAGGAGGGGCGCGACTGGGCTAGGAGGCGCGACGGGGCCCAAAAGGGGCGCGACGGGGCTAGGAGGCGCGGCAGGGCCCAGGAGGGGGCGCGACTGGGCTAGAAGGCGCGGCATGGCCCAGGAGGGGCCCGACTGGGCTAGGAGGGGCGCGACGGGGCCTAGCTAGGGTACGGGCGGAAGCGGTAGATGGGGGATCCTAACCTACGCTCTGATACCATATCAAAGTGAGAACTGAATGATTGGGTAGAGAGAGAGTACAGGTGAATATACCTAAGTGTTGTACCCTCTAAGAGGTGGCCCTATACAGTCTATGCAAACATAGGATATATACATGTTTGACACAACGCCCTCACATGTGCTCCAGCTCGCCTCGGACTTCTTGTGTGATTTTAGTGAAGGACCGAGAATGTCCCTCACACACACTAAGAAAGCTGGAAAATTACAGGTTACTGTGCAGTGGACAGGGTGATACTTTTAGTACCCTTCACATTCAGGGTACTCATCGTTTTTTACAGATTTACCCTGATTTTCAAAGGGTCACGAAAATTTCATCCTAAGAGACAAGGTAATGTTTTTTAGGCACACTGATTACTAAGGGTGCCCCTTAACCAATTTTGAGCCCTGTTCGTCTGCCCCTCTTTGCACTGCGAATGGCACCTGACTCGGTTTTCATCCTGCTCGCTTTTTACAGCTGAGCGGACCTTGGTCATGAAGGACGAAATACTGTTTGAAGGCAAGAAAAACGAACAG